AAGTTTTTGTTATTAAAGTGGTCTTTTATTTCTTAATAGCTTTTGTTAAAGGCTTGCTTTGGATCCATTCGATATTTTTTTTCTCCTGTCTTGTGTTTTTGCCCCCATTTTCAGCCCGCCCAGATTTAGCTCAGTTTCATCCTCTAATCTCTCTGTTATGTTAGTGATACTGGGAGAACAGCCTGGGCTGTGTGGCTCAGCCCCACCTGTCAAAGAGTATAGCATCTCTCACCAGGATCAGCTTATTGCCTGAGCTCTGTGTATCTTTATATTGAATTGCTTGTGATAGGAGCCTCTGATGTTGGTTGTGTGTATGTGAGTGTGTGGGTTTATTTGCGCAAGCGTGTGTGTGTGCGTTGTCTCTGTATGCGTATGAGGTGGCTTTGAATAAGTGAATGATCCACACAGGAGTAGATACAACTATTGTCTTTTCTGGCCTCAAATTTCAATATTTTCCCTTTATGTCTCTTCGGCCCTCTCTTCCCCACGTACCACCACGTGCTCTGCTTTGCTCTCCCTTTGTTCATTGCCACAGTGTGGTAATAGATGGGGCGGTGGAGACAGTGAACGTTAAAGTTTGTGGGCCATGGATGGACAGCTTGGCATGAATATCAGTGGCACAGTGTAAGTGCTGGGAATTGGATGAGCGAGAGCAAAGAGGCGTCAGCACTTTCCCTTCCATGTATTTTTACTCAGCCAGATTGAGTCTTATTATCTGACCCTTCTCCTCTTCCCTCAGTGACCTAATAATATTGTTTCAGCAATCCTGTCCAGCCTCTGACCCCAAGATTTCACACAGGAATTTGGTGGATGAAGAGTTCCACTTTCCTGAAGAAGTCTGCTGCTTTGGCTTTTTGCTTCTTCCCTGGCCCTGGTGTGATCATATGCAGTAGCAGCAACTTATGAATATTCATTTATACTATTGATCTAAATGTTACTGCAATTAAATTGGCATTGTTTAGCCATCAGTTATATCCTTTATCTAATGATGTTTACTAGTCTGATAGGGATTTTATCTACTATAGACCCAGCCACTTTTTCTCAGTAAACCTCATGTTGTACTTAGACAAAGATTTGTATAAAACCTCATCAAGATCTCATTTGATTGGTCAACAATGTTTATTATTAACAGTGGAATCAAAGTTGCAAATCAGTGAATTAACATGGTTATGTAGGAGCTTGTTAAGCGGCTGAGGTAAACGGGAGAGATTTGGGAAATAATCCCTTCCCAATCTGGACACCACAGCTGGTTGTCTCAAGCGTCTCCATCCATCCTGACATAGACACACAGCTCTGAACTTAACATTGCTGCCAACATGCATAGGGGCACAGTGATGTGGGTTGAAGGGGAACAGCAAAGAGTGTGTCAGTGTGTTTAATTGGGTTTTTCCAAATCCATCTTAACCTCGATACATGTCCTTCCACAGGGCTCCAGATTGTGAGTGATCAGTCGCATTTTGCGACCAAATTTATTTAAGGTGCAACTGATTGTTTTCAAAGGTCACACTGGGTGTGACAGCAAAATAAACAGGTTATGCACGTAAAATTGCTCTCACTGTGGAAATGGTGGGCAGATGTAACAGTCTCTGCAATGCGGTCATTGCAACATTTATCTGCAGGTCCGTCACTCGCCCCTTAATAACGCTGATTTCTGATGAGAATACATGAAGACTATTTTTGTCCAATACATTTCTGCTGTCAGTCAGCCTAGTGAAGGCCATACTGTCCTCCTGCTGACAGACAACTGTTCTGACGAGAGACGCTGCCCAGAGGTCAGAGTTGGTGTGGACCGAAAGGATCAAACACATGAGCTTCGCGCATGCATGACATACATCTCGTGAAGTCCCAGTTTGAAGTTAGTAGTGGCTGAAACCCACCATCAAGTCCTTCTTTAAGTAGTAGGCTTCTAGTACCTTTCCCCAAAAATGAGCTAGCGCGAGTGAGAGAGCTAAACTGTGCATGAACCAACACAGATGTCGCCAAAGAGCAGAAATTCTTCTTCAGAAGAAAAACTGGCTACAAATAAATCACGCACACAGACGGCAGAGAATGCAAATGTGGGACATAAAAAGAGGTGGAAACTTACTGAAGAAGTGGTTTTCCTATTTGTGTTCTAAGTCTCTGAATTTTATTATAAGTATAGGCTATGCACATTGGATGGTAGGGTTATTTAAAATAATTTGGAAAAATACAGATTTTTTTTCCATTACATTGTAAAACAGAGGTGGTGTCACCAAATCTGGCACAGGTGCCACCATCGGAGAGACCTGGCAACACTGGTACCACTTCTTTATGTTAGTCACTTGGTCCACATGCCACCTAGAGACAGCAACTTGAGTATCTCTTCTCACAATCAGCAGTGAGACAAGGTTCATGCCCCTGCTCGCTCTTCATCATTACAGCAGACTTTTAAGAAAGTGCTGCTATTTTATTGATGCCTGTAATAGTTGTTACTGGTTTCTGGTGATGCATACACTCAGTTTGCAGCTGCTGGTTAGATCTCCTCCTCCTAATGTGGTCAACAGGGAGCCAGATTGACTGGAGGAAGAAAAAAAACCATGTTGACCTTGTCTACAGATTTAGAACACAGAAGCATCACTGATATGGCAGCTGTACTGCAGCAGGCAACAGAAGCTGCGGCTCCAATCAGATCATCAGGTCAGATGGCTGTAGCTAATGCCAAGGCTTAGAGTGTGGATGTAATACTCTTCAGCTTAATGCACAAAGACAATTTTCCAGGGCTTTTTTGGAGCCGTCAGAAGTCTTGAACCATTTTTCATTAAACTAACCGTTTCTTAAGAGCTGGGAAGTGAACTAGTTAAATCCTCTTCTCGGTGTGGATCTCTTATTAGGGTGCCTGTCTAAACTGCTAGCTACTGACTCCAAGCTGTTACACTCGTTTTATAATTAAGCTTTTTCTTTCGTTGTGACAAATGACAGAATCTGATCTGCCACATTTCTTATCCAGATGTTTAAGCATACCCGTTACACCATGCACCCTCCACACAAGTACTGTACACACCCACAGGCATTCAGAGGAACTCAAACACAAAAATATCACATATCTCACTCCTGCTCTACTTTTCTGAATCAGTCTCCCTGACATGTCCCTGTCTTAGCCTCTTCCACACATTGTCTTACTTTTCATCTTAGTGATTATTTCTTGCTTTGATTAATCCTCCTCCTTGTTTTCCATGCTGCACTGGTCTGAGTCAGTAGACTTCCTGTTTTCAAAATAACTCTTCATGTCAGCCTTCCTTCCTCCCATCTTCCTTCTTCCCCTGCTCCTCCTGTGTCTTCTATTCATCACTCCAACGCCCATTTTACAGTATCTTTCTGTCTCCTTCCTCCATCCGTTCCTCTCCCTCCATTACCTTGCTCATTCAAGTCCCCTTCATTGCACCCTCTGCCTGTCCAACCTTCTGACATGAATACTTTTTACCCTCTTACTGTATTCCCCTCCTCTTCCCTGCATTCCCCCTCTCACCATTCATCTTCAGGTCCTCTGTCCATCCCCCCCTCACCTCCCCCCACCTCTCTGTCAGGCCCCAGCTCTCTTCCTCTTCTTCCTTCGTCTGGCAGTAGAACGGCTCCACTCTTGCTGACGGTGCTGTTTGTACGAACTGAGTGCTGAGCTTCACAGCCCCCTCGCCTCCCATTGCTCCCCCTTCCACCTCTCCCCCTCATCCTCCACCGCTCTCCCTCCTTTTCTCTTGCCTCCCACCTACATACTCCTCCAGGCGATGGAATTAACCTTCCAGCCCTGGGCTGCTGGGCTTAATGGCTGTCTGTGGGGCCAGTTCTGACTATACAGCCCAGCACATCTGGGCCGCACACACACATTCGCACTGCCTGTATGCACGCGCCACACTACACAGAACAGACACTGGACACTGGCAGTTTTCAGTATGCACAACATAAGGTAACAGTCCTTGAATTGTGCCAGTGTGAGGGTGTGTGTCATTATCATCCTTTCTTTATTGCCTGCTGTGCAAATGTGGGAGTTTCTTAGCACTATTCTCACAGACAGTGATTGGTTTATCATTACTGCATGGCTGACCCATAGGGGAAGAACAGATGCAGCAGTATAACTGCATTTTATGTTTCCTGAGCAAATAGCTTGTGCATATTGTCAACAGAGAGCCACTGCACAAGTGTGAACTAGCAGCAGATCAAATGAAAAATACATATATGTGGAAAATAAACATAGCCTTTGTGTTGTCCTACTCCAAGAGCTTTTGCTGTGTTCCACCAGGGAAATGTTGGTATTCTCCAGCTACCATTCAGTTGGAAGTATATAACTGAGAAAAGGCAGTAGAAAGTCATTTTCAGAAAGCATGAAATAGTCCAGTGTTGAAAGTCAGTGCTTGGCCCTGTCTCTATCTCCATTTTTGCAGCAGAACAAGTCACCCCTGGGGTATTCACTATAGAAGATACAATTATGTGGATCCTCTGTTCCATTCTTTATGTATGAGCATAAATGTTACAAACTAGCAACTGTGAAGACATCCATGTTGCATCTGTATTTTTGAGGGCTGCTCTGCTCCTTCCAACCCAGTAGAATGAAATGCTAAATAATGAGATCCATGAATCCGCCCCATTAAGACAGGATAGAAGGAACTACAGGCATGTTCCTCCACTCTTATTATTGGCTCACAGCAACTTTCTCTGACTTTTATAGTTATTTCTTCAATTCTACTGAAACAAGAGGTCCTACAACTTTTTAAATGGCCAGTTTGTTCCTGTGTAACCTTACAATTCTTTAAATCCCCAGGGCAGCAGTGAAATTGTTATAGTTTTGTGACCTTTATTTTCTTCATGTGACCCCCTTTATAACCACCGCCAACACTTCTCATACACACACCTTTCTTCCTTCTTCAGTCTCTGCTACTGCCTCTCTCCCTCTCTTTATCTATTTGCCTCTGTCTGAGACTAAGGAGTGAGAGAAGGGGGAGTCCCACTGGCATTCTTTAACATCTCCGTTGCTCACTTGTGTTCAGAGAGCCATCTGTAGATCAGGAAGACAAAAAGACGCTCCCGAGCCTTGGCGTCACTCATCAGGTAAGCAGAGCTCTCTTTCTCTCATGCAAATCCGCTCACCTATTCAAAGATTCTTGGCGTTTTCTTAAGCAGGAGGTACACCCTGTGTGTGTGTGTGTGCGTCTGCCTCTCTCTTTCTGTGCCTCTCTCTCTCTCTCTCTAGGCAGGTGAATGTACTTGAGTTGGGAGAGGTTGAAAGAAGGTTTTGCCTCTTGGAATCTCAACTTTTTCCTGTGGAGAGCAGATATATGATTGTGTATTGAAAAGTAGTCCAATAAACTTGAATACTTTGCGCTGAAGGGGGTGGTGACATAACACACAGACGGCCAACTTTGGTTTCTTTGAGTACCTTGAAGTTGTACCAGACAAATATATTATCAAGATGCTGCCAAACTGCTGGACCAAGCTGATATGATTTAGCCTGTCTCTACACGAGGTGTGTTCTGTCTGCCTTTAGCACATGTCCAGCCAGGTCCTAATCAGACTGATTAAAGAAGGCCATGTTTTCATGTAAAATTAAAGGATTCAGATGTGATTAGATTCTGTTGATAATCTAATCTGCAGCTTTTAGAAATTCTCTTTATCTGCAGTTCAGTTTTAAAGCAGTAACAGTTCAGAACACCGCTTTTATAATTTATGTAATTGGACCCTTAGGCAACTGGTGAGATTGGTAAGAGGTTAGTTGGATATTAAGATGTAAGACCACATCTGAATTGCACGGCTGCATGGAGATTGAAACTTCATTTTCTGTACATTGATAGGTTTCATGAGGTTTCACATTAAATTGGTCTAGGACTGAGTGTATTGAGCCATTTGCTGATGTTATGAAAGACACCATTAAAAGCCTACCTTTCAGGAGGTCACGCTGAATGGTTGAGCTACCTTTAATGCCCTTGTGGGGAGACTGGCAGCCTTGTCTCTGAAAGTGAATCAAATTTCAAATCAGACTTTCTAATTTGCATTTGTAAGAAAATGGTGAAGAACAAGGTGAAAAAAAGTGTGGCAATGAGCACTGCTGTAGTAAAATATGACTCTTTTTTTTTAAATTTGAAGACAAATTGCCATTCAGTCCAGTATTTATCTGATGTTGAGCGGCTGTTAAATGACACAGTATCACACTTATTCCACAAATGCTACACCATCCCAGGTTTTTCATGCCAAAAAATGAAACCCATCTAAATCACCATTCTTCTTACTGGCTTTATTTTTAAAGCAATTGAGGCAGTTGTTTGAATAGCTAATGGGAATGTGGGGAGGTCAGGTAGGCTGTGTCTGCTTTCATTATGAGTCCTAAAGAAAGTGGTGTCTCATGAGACCAACGGCAACCTTTCTGTGTTGGCCAAACACTTCTCTTCTTTTCAGGGAATACGTGCTGTTTGAGCTCAGAATCTCAAGTTATGGCTTTTTTCATTGTACAGTAAACAAATGAAAGAAATCTAGTTACTACCAAAAAAAAAACCTGTAAAATACAACACATATGAGAGCAAAAGTTTAATTTTAGGTGGGAAATAATGACCATGTTTATGTTTACATACGCAAGGCATTAAAAGACACGGATGATAAGAGGATGGGCACTTTTAACCTCAGAAAGGAATTTCTATTCATTGAAGAAGGAAGTAATTGCCCTTGTATGCTCAAAGAGTATACTGGGGGCTCTGAAATACACAAATGTTTTGAGAGCGAAAAAATAATTGAGTGTGAGTTAATTCTTATCAAAGCCTGTTGGAGTGCAACTAATCGACTGAGGGGAGATGTGTCAAAGAGCTATTGCCGTCAATTCATTTTGTCTGTTCAGATGAGAAAATATTTAGTTTTCAATTAAGTAAACCAGTATTATTTGTTCCACTCCTGCAGCAGATAAATTGAAGTGATTACAAACTGACTTAAAATGCGCAGAGGGCTCTTCCTGGTCAAATAAGGAAGACAACCGAATGCAGTGGGCATAGAACCACAGTACGGCCTAAAGTCTTAATTCCAAACAGTTCCTTTCCCAACATTAGCAACAGTAGCATGCCATGATCCTGACAGTGGATCATACTTATGCATTGATGGGAAATTACCTGTAAAAACCATATACACAGTTGCAATTTATATTTTTTCAAATGTTCTAATGCATTTCCTGTTTTCCATGTAGCCACCAGTTTCCATTCAATTAAATAGAGGTTTAAAATGTTGCAAAAATGTGAAATGTTGTTCAGAAAGATGTCTTTTTGCCCTGTTTTAAGGCATACAAGCTCTTAGCCACAGCTTGTTACTCTCATGTATAACATCCACTTGAATCACAGCGATAATCCTTCTTTAACCAGTAAAACTGAGATTTGCTGACCATTTCAGCCCTGTACTGTCATTTTAAAACATTCACCCAAATTAAGGTTTTTCCTGAATCCTCATAAACAATTCCAATTATGCATAATCAAAAATATTCTGGTTCTGTCCAGGATAGAATATAATTTTAATCAGTTTCTCAGCTATGCCTGTGGTGACAGGAAATCGTTTTCAATAATACAATAGCAATAATAATATAATAGGTTTGAATAATAACATTCATGCTCAACTTGCATTAAAAGCAAAAGATGATGTCATTTCCTGTCGCCATCTTTGCTTAACTGAGAAAAAACCTTTACCCAAGAAGCTGATTAAAATGATATATTTCTTGCACTGGATTGGATTATTTTTGATTCTGCATCATTAGATGAATCTTTGAGGATTCAGGAAAAATCTTCAGAATTTGGATGAGCGTTATGATGCAACAGTATGGGGTTAAAATGTTTGGCAAGTTTCAATTTAATAGGCTAATTGAAGATTATCTCTATGACTCCAGTGTATATATTACATGAGAGTCACAAGCTGGGGCTAGCAAGTGATGTACATGACCAGCCAAAGATTTAGACACTTTCCTATTCAGTGGGAAAGTGTGTCCAAACCTTTGGTACATACGCTCCCTCATCTGATTCTGAAAGAGAATCTAAAAGAAGCCATAGAACAACAGCTGATGGTAAAATTAAACGATAAAAAAATCAAGTGTACAGTTTTAAGTTCTAATACAAATACGTCTCTAAAGCATATTCCTACATTACTGATATTGTAGGGGTGTGGAGTCTATGTCTCTGTATATGTCATGTCTTTTTTTTCCCATGACTGTTCCAGGATTCCTTAAGGTCAGTTGTCAGCGGCAAAATGGACTTCTTGTCAGCGTGGATTGTGTCTCCTTCAGGACTACCCTTTCTCTGGCTCATCTGGGGTAAGAGAATCAAATGTCACCGTAGGGCTATCATTATAGTATCTGTGGCCTTTTCAAGTACCATCCGTGTTCAGGCCATTCAGCTGAGCATTGGGAACTTTGACTTTAGTGAAGCTTTAACTGTATTCTCACTGTAACCTAATAGCCCCTGCAGGTTTATGTGTATTATTTGCCCTCGAGTAACACAGGTTTACAGTGATGCATATATTATAAATGTAAGTCATTTAAACTAACCTGGTTTATCACATTATTATTTTTTATTTTGAAAAAATCTTGTTTAAGAGGTTTACTGCTGTATTAATGGGCTTAATCAGAAATTTATTTATATCCCTCTTTTCACTTTAGTTTTTTCAGCATCTGAGCAAATCAGACATCAGTGGCAAAATCAAGGTGATGAGCAGGACCAAATATCATTATTACAAACAAAACTGA